GCATATATGACTTGACTCCCCTTGTTCAACTGTTGCCAGGTAAATTAGGCAGTCGGTAACAGCGGATCATTAAATAAATATATAATAGATGATAAATGGTGGCGCGGTGGTGGACTGGTTAGCACATCGGCCTCACAGCGCAGAGGTGCAGGGTTCGGTTTCGGCCTGCCTATGTGAAGTTTTTGCATGCTCTACCTGTGCCTGTATATCATTAAATATCATTAAAAGTACAACATTTAAAAACAGGTACAGAGTTGACGTGATTCATATGGAAAGAAAAGACATTTAAAATATAGCCTATTCAAATGAGTAAAAGAGTGCATTGTGCAAAACCGCTAATTTTACAAACATGATTTTAAAAACACTTTGAAAGACCTTGATCACAGTTGTGAAAAGAGGAAAAGAGGAGAAAAAAAAAAGATAGCAGCAAATAGGGTGACCGTAATGTACACAAGCACAGACGAAAAAAAACAAAAAAACATGCTCATCAACGGTTTTGAGGGGGCATATCACACACTGGGTGCATGTTATTCACTGGATTTTGCAGTCATTCATCTGAACTTGCGACCCAAACCAGCAGCACCTATCAGGCACGGAAACGGCTCGTTGGATGAATAAAAGTGTAGAAAATATTAAAATGCAGTATTAAAATTGATACCTCATAGATAGCCAAACAGCATTGAGCGCTTCAATGGAATCAATACCTCCATATTTACGTCGCAAGGAGATACTGCAGCATATCTCCAACAGAATTTTTATTTTGTTTTAAAATCCGCTTTCACTTGACATGCAGTATTCAGCTAACATTGTTGCATAGGAATCCACATATTGGATGCAGAGAAGCCAAATGAGCAGCCCTGCTACCATGCAGTTGAGTAAACAAACGCTGCAGGCCACTATTTGTTAAATAGTTCAGTTAAATCATATTTTCCATAATATTGTCTGTTCGGTTCTCTTTGAAAAGTAATTGGGAAAAGCAGACACGGCCCTCATACAGGTGGAGCTGTGATCTGCTCAGCCATCCAATGAAAGCTCTTTGGCCTGCAGCAAACTGGCACCGCCAGAGTCCTCGTACCTGTCTACCTCAGTAATCTGCCAGGGAGCAGACAAACATCAGTGGGTCTTATCTCAACTTTCCAGGAGCAGCCAAGGAAAAAGCGGAGAAAAGGCACGGGGCCCAGCAGCGACTGACACCAGACTCAATTCAGTCAACACAAAAATGCAAACAGTTCATTAAATCCAAGCAGGCACGCAAAGAAAATTGTACTCGAGAGTGCAACAAAATAACTGGAAAGACAGGACAGGCTTCATTCGGTGCTCTGACTTTTTTTTCCAAAATAGAAGAGTACATAAAATATTTGATTGACTTGCAATGCAGGAAAACATGAATGTCCTACAGGCCAGGATCAATGCAGCAGCATCCAAAGTGCAACAAAGATAACACTAATGAGCATGACACACCAGCAAGCGCCTTCCATTCCCAGCATGGCTGAGCAAAAAGGATTCACCCAACGGCGACACTAAACAGAGCAGTAGACAGTTACTCTTGGGGGGGTATTATACGCCATCTGCACCAAAGTGATAGTCAATACTTGCATCTCATGCAAGATTGCACACGTGGGCAATGCCAATGAAACCATCTCCGCAAAGCCATTTTCCATGTGCCAGAGCTGGTAAAAAGTCACCCTCTGACAGAAGCAGATTTCGCCTTGGAGAAATTTGTCTTTCCAGCACACAGTGGGTGCTGGTGTTTATATTCACAGGAGCTGCCTGTGGGAAAGTGGTAGCTTAAGAATGATGAAAAGCATATGTTCTGTCACTTTGCACTCGCAATCTCTTGCGACTTTAATTAAAAAGCATTTCAAGACCTGACGACTTCCACACTAACAGGCAGAGGTGGGTAGAGACTGACGAACATTGCACTCCACTGCTACTGTTGCTACTTTGGAATCAAGGGATACTAATATATATATATATATATATATACTGTGTTTTAAAACATTTTTTTCACAATACTTACAATACCATATTTATAATTTCATATACCAGTGGATGAAAAAAGAATATATGTGATCATTTTCCGTCTTTATTCTCGCCCACGTAATTACCTTATGTAATCTACGTCTTCCTTGAGTGTTACTATAGTTTAACGGATTAAAAAAAAAAAAAAGTGATATTGTACAACATAATTATTTAATGGGTTGACAATTGGTTGCCCAATTGCTGGAAGCCAAGGAATTTTGTCGACATGCATGATTTTATCGAAAAGGATTTCTTTGAGGCCCTAATTTTTTAAAACCCTGCGGCTAGAAAATGATTTTTCACACCTTTAAACCTTGTTTATTGATGGACAAATGTCACTCTCTCACCCCTCAGTTATTCCCCTAAACTACAAACAAAAGAAAACAGGAAGGAGGGTACAAGGAAGCTGTCAGGCAACAGTGCATTTTGTCCTTTAAATCAGCAGCACCAAAACTGTCTATTCCGAGAGGGCATCTTCATCTGCAGTGCAGACAAAACTAAGCAGGAGGTCAGGACAAAGGTGAGGCTGAGGCCCTGAGAGGACAGGAAAGAGCACAAAACTGCAAAATCAAATGACCCGTTTGTGTACGTGTCCTTGCATAGAAAGGTTACGAGCTGAAGGACTGTTTTGTTGGGCATAGACAACAAAAAAGGACAAAAATAGTTGAGGATTGTGTGTTTTTTTTGGTTTTTTTGACAGAAATTTTTGACAGCTGTCACAGCGACAATCAGTTTCTGAAAGTGAAAAATTAGTCGACTAGAAAATATGGATTTTCATCCAGACCACTGGCTTTGGATAAATGAGTAGAACATTATGATGCAGAAAAAAAAATAAAAAACAACAAAAGCAATCAATGCAGTCATCTGCCTTTGTCAAGTTCTGTTTTGCTTGTGTTTCAGCTCCAGCTGGAGTGAAGGGCGTTTCCCTCCAGCAGGTGCACCTGTTGCGCAGTTCCCAATCAAGCCTTGCCAAATATTTAAGGATTGCCAAATTGCCAAGTCTCTTTTGTATTATTGACCTTGCTCGCTGTTGTGCTTCAAGTGTAGTTTTATCGACCTCCTGATATTATTCATAGTCGCTCCTGTTTATCATAGTTCCTTGTTTGTCAGTACTTTCATTTTTTTTCATCGTTGATCTTCCATCCATCCATCCATTTTTGCTTCTCGCAAGAAGGCAGATAATTTTGTTTTCACGCGGGCAACAGCTTGAAGAGAGAAGCCCAGACTTCCCTCTCCCCAGCCACTTCTTCCAGCTCTTCCCGGGGGATCCCGAGGCATTCCCAGGCCAGCTCGGAGACATAGTCTCTCCAGCGTGTCCTGGGTCGCCCCGGGGGCCTACTGCTGGTGGGACGTGCCCGGAACACCTCACCAGAGAAGTGTCCAGGAGGCATCCCAATCAGATGCCTGAGCCACCTCATCTGGCTCCTCTCGACGTGGAGGAGAAGCGGCTCTACTCTGAGCCCTTCCTGGATGAACGAGCTTCTGACCTTATCTCGAAGGGAGAGCCCGGACACCCTGCGGAGGAAACTTATTCCGGCCGCTTGTATCCGGGATCTCGTTCTCTCGGTCACGAACCACAGCTCGTGACCATAGGTGAGGGTAGGAATGTCCATGGACCGGTAAATTGAGAGCTTCGCCTTTTGGCTCTTCACCATGACAGACCGATCCAAAGTCTGCACCGATCCGCCTGTCGATCGATAGATTGTTGGTCTTGATCTTTGGTTTTGCATTATTGGACTTTTGACATTTCGTGTGCGCATTCTGTGTTTCCTTCTACGCTTTTCGGATGTGCATTGTTTTTCCTGGCTCATTGTGACCAGAAATTTGTGTTTGTACTTTGTCGGTGTGTTTTTTCCGTAAATATTTTTGTTTTCGCATTTTGTCTGAGCCTGCATATGTCTGGGATTCAAAAACATTATTCGGTTTGGTTCAGCCTTCAAACTAAATGTTTAATTACTGTCCCAGAAAGCTGCTTGGTATGTTTATTTCTTCATAATGATGAGAAACTTTCAACTGTTTGGACTGCAGTGAAGAACTTGTCTCTTTCCCCAAAAGTACAACCAGCATAAAAATATGGCAGCGAGCGCAATCATAGCGTGCCCAATTACCACCGGTTGCCCTGGTTTTGCATTCTCGCTAAGAAAATGCTCTCTTTTATTTACAGATCATCTGACACCTTGCAGCAAACAAAAGAAATGTGTTGCGCCACTGCCTTCTTGCGATAATCCTTAAGGATGTTTATAAGGCACAAGCATACGCCATTTTCAACACTTTAGACTGGTCAAATATTTGTCAGCATAACATGACGGCATGTGGACTGGCTAATAGAATCGATTTGTGAAAAAAAGTCAGTTTACCAAATTGTGAGAGAGGAGGTTTTGTCCCAATGGCATGCATGAGACTCAAATTTGAGTGCTAAATATACCGGTCATGTCATTATAAAATGACCCAATCATGTGCACTCTATGTTGACATATTTCAACAGGGTTATAATGCAATTTTTTTATTATTTTTTTTAAAGTTAAATTTTTTACTTACCTGTCGGTCAACCACTGTGTGGGCAATCTCCCAGCCATGGTAAAATAGATAAGTAAATTTGCAGTGTTCAATATTTGTCTCATCTTTTCTAGGGTCTTCCCCTTTTGGGGTAAGCTGCAGGAAAACATTCCGCAAAGTACAGACTGCAAAGTAGCAACTTTATTTCGTCTGTCTTTATTACCATATTATTTTTTTTTATTCGAGCAAGTTTAAAGTCAACCTGTTTCACAGAATGCAAATTTTGTTCAACTATGGAGGTTCTATGTTAGGTCTTGGGTGGAAAAATCTGTTACATCGTTTGGTAGAATTCCATAATCCCAATCGTCGCCTTCATAGGCACATGTCCGAATATTGCTTTATATCTTTTCAACACTGTGCGGTGCCTTCAGTTTGGAAGTGTGAAGTGTGAAACGATAAGCAATAAGGGAATATCTTCTTACCTTTGATCTCTTGAGGTGTGGGGCTTCTAATCCATGTTGCGGTGCACCAGGCTGTCAGACTTCAGTGGTCGTACAAGCCACTTAGCTTCTCCTCAGCTCACAAGCACAAATGGAGTGCGCCACCAGCTCGCACGAGTGTGCGCTCAAATTCGTTTGGATCCCGTTCAATGAGAATCAGCGTCGATACGCTCTGAAAAGAAAGATGAGAAGGAGAGAACATCTTTGAATGCGAAAACACGGCCTGAACATTTTGATAACTGTTCACATACATTTCACGAGTCATCCTGGGGCTCAAAAACGGATTACATTGTTGAATATCGTATTTTGAAAGATGCTTCGCCCCCAGCGGCAGAATCAACCTAATGGCATTTTTTAATCAGAGAACTGGTGGCACTGCAGAGGACATCCAAAATTCATGTGAGGCTCTGTAAAATGCAGCTTCAGAATTTACTGTCCATTTTTGCTGATGTTTGTTTTACTTTGTCCCCACTCAGCAGCCTTCCTCTTTATTTAGCGCCTTCAACATTTTTCATACTGTCACAGTATATACATTGAGCAACTTCTCAAACTCATGAGCGGTCAAAACAGGGCAGAACAAATTTGCATGGCAATTACGACGCTAAACCGAGAAATTGCCAGAGTGTACAAAAATGAATATTTTTTTCATTCCTTATTAATAGCCGCGAATTTGAAGAGATTGTAAATCAAATATTACCAATCACTGCCTGTGCCGAACGGCCTATTCTTCTGTTACCGCCGACTCTTGTTTGCTTTTCTTGGATCAGGGGCATATTATCAGTAGCAAGGAAGAAACAAGACAGATTGTCCCTTTTATAATTTTATCTTTTAACAAACGGTCGTGATCCTCAAATCGTGTGGGGAACAAGAAAGAACACAGTCGCTTGGCACCTGGCGGACACACTGCTGTGGGACCGCCAGGATAAAGTATTCAAATCTGGTCAAAAATACAAGAAACAACAATGCAAATCGAACTGAAATAAAATGAATAAATTCCTCAGCCAACTGGGTTAATTCACATGAACCACCAATACAATAAGGTAGATCTAGGAACAAACAAATTTGCCTATCCCAATCATTATATATGTCCCAATATAATATTTTTCCATGAAATTACTGGAAATTTCTGGGTTCTTTTCTGTATTTATTTATAAAATATGTATTTTATATAGACCACACAATTCAAGGAAAAATAACATTAATTGCTTCAAGTAACGTTTGTAAGTCTGCCCAGATGTTGAATTTGGCGAACACAAGATTGTCGGCTTTTTCTGAGGCTCCTGACCGTGATGTTACAGTCAGAACATTAGGAGGCAAAATGAAACACTGTGCGGCTTTTTACATCTTTTTCCCAACATGGCGCAACACGAGTGGTTGCCTCAGGGGTATTGTCTTTGTTTTTGTCTTTTTTTTTTTTTGTCCGTTTTTGTCAACCTTACACCGTTTGTTTATACAGAAAGAAGACTTGCCTCGCATTAAGGAGTTTACTACCAATTTTTTTTTTTTTTCACAAACCTACAAAGTTTTTCAGAGATAATACCCGACGGAGCGGCTGGACTTTACAGTGCATGGAAGAGCCAGCAGAGGAGAAGGGGGAACGAGTCGCCGCCAGCCGCTGTCACGGTTCAACTGGCTACTACGCCACATAAAATCAAGGTTGGATCTTCTGAAGGCAAATCCCATTCGAAAGTCAAGCAATCAGATAATGTTCTATACTCTATTCAAAAGGCACTGAAAAAGTCAAGAACGTTTTCATAAAGCATCGGCATATTTTATCATCTGACCCGCATTAAAGCGGTGTACAAGAGAGGAAGGAATCTCAGAGCTACGTTGGTACGTTCTCACTTTGCTTCCAGTAGAATCAAACTACATCAAGCCACCTAAGCTCCTATCCCAGATGGTCATCGCCGTTTGTGGCAATTGCAGGCAAAATAACCAAATTGCGACCGTGCGTCTTATAAATACAAAATCAGTCACTGATCTTATCACGTGTCCTTGCGGGAGAGCATGTGCGGGCAAAACAAGTTAAGAAACGAATTGTCGAATTTAGAAATACAATAAGATGCAAGAACTTGAATTATCTGGTGGCAGCTCATTTTATTTGGTATTGACCATGTGGGGTGTGGGTGTATGCATATACAGGTGCGTCCGTTCCGTTTAGACCACGGTGGCCTGAAACATGCGGTCGTCAGGAACAATAAGTCTGCTAAACTAAAGATGGTAAATCTCTCTTCAGGGGTGGATGCACCCGCTTCAGTCATGGAATTTTTATATCCACTGAACAAATCATTCTTAAAATCAGCTTTCAGGTTCCGGTTCCGTCCTTATCTCAAGTGGTTTCTATTTATTTATGGATCTGTGAAATAATTCTTTTGGTGTGCCACAATTAGAGGCCCACGGAAGAACCTAGCATGGTCGGGACATTTGTGATATTCATGTTTAGTGTATCTGAGGTCGTCCAGGCGTGTCGTCCCTCAGATGCCATTTTTAACTATGCGGCGTAAAGGAATATAGTTCCTTATCAGTCCGTGCCACGACCCCAATTGGAAAGCCATATTCATTGCATCGCAAGAGAAATGAAAGACAGCTGTGCACTGCCTGAGCAGTCTGCGGAGAGCCGATAAAACGTTTAGAATTCACGAGCTGTCATTACACTCTCCATGATCCTGACCCATGTCGCTCTTCCCTCATCGCACGTCAGGTGGCAATACCCAGGGAAAAGTTCAACGCAGGAAATACGCAATCGGCTTACGGAAACAAATCCTCATCTTAGTCCGTGCTAACAAAAAGGTGAGAGGATACTGAGGTAGCAGATATCAACACTAAGTTCTAATCCTTCTATTGTCCATTCAGTATGCAGCAGAGCCAAATATATGAAATTTACTGGAACCAAAATACTCCGGCTAGTCAGAATTAGCATTAATTTGCGAGTGAGTTCAACAAGAAAGATACCTGACGGGAAGCCCCCTCCAAAAAAGCAGCAGCAGATTAAAGTTGCAGTGGATGACAGACAAGAACCATTAAGTCAATCAGAATCCGAATCATCTTTATTGGCCGAGTATGTAAAACACACAAGGAACTTGTCTCTGGGAGTATGAGCCACGCTAGGATTGCAATAACAAGTAACTACGACAAACAAAGAGAGTACAGAAAGACTTTCCGTAATGGAAGCGTACCATTGTGCAGTAGTACAACCGAATGACAGTGGTGCGACAATGTGAAGAGTCATCGAGAAGAAATAAAGTGATCACCGGTGCGGTACTTACGATACGATGACGGTTGTTGGTATTGTCTTTGTTTTGCCATTTTCGTTCGTTTTTTGCAAACCTATGCCGCTTACTTACCCGAGACAAGACTTGCTCAGCATTAGGGAGTCCATTCCCTCTGATGCAAATGGAAAATCTTGCAATATCACGGGCCAACTCACGACTTAAGAGCCATATTTGGCCATTCATATTTTTTTTTCTCCAGCAGAAGCTCGAAAACTCCACAGATCACCTCTAGTTTGAACAATATTTTTTCAGAAACATTTACCTGCCAAGTTGCGCAAACATCAAATGTTTTATATTCCATTATGCAAGAACTCATGGAATATCATGAAGGCCTCGACAAGTCGTTTCTTTGCCTTTGTGTTTGGTCCTTTTTGCAAAAGCAGTCAACTGCCATAAAAAAAGAACAATGGTTTCCTGAAATCATGACATCCTGACATGTTTCACAGCAGATTAAAGTTGCAATGGATGACAGACAAGAACATTAAGTCAATCAGAATCCGAATCATCTTTATTGGCCGAGTATGTAAAACACACAAGGAACTTGTCTCTGGGAGTATGAGCCACGCTAGGATTGCAATAACAAGTAACTCCGACAAACAAAGAGAGTATAGAAAGACTTTCCGTAATGGAAGCATACCATTGTGCAGTCGTACAACCGAATGACAGCAGTGCGACAATGTGCAGAGTCATCGAGAAGAAATCAAGTGATCACCGGTGCGGTACTTACAATACGATGACGATTGTTGGTATTGTCTTTGTTTTTGTCATTTTGGTTCATTTTTGGCAAACCGATGCCGCTTACTGACCTGAGACAAGACTTGCTAAGCATTAGGGAGTCCATTCCCTCTGATGCAAATGGAAAATCTTGCAATATCACGGGCCAACTCACGACTTAAGAGCCATATTTGGCCATTCATATTTTTTTTTCTCCAGCAGAAGCTCGAAAACTCCACAGATCACCTCTAGTTTGAACAATATTTTTTCAGAAACATTTACCTGCCAAGTTGCGCAAACATCAAATGTTTTATATTCCATTATGCAAGAACTCGCGGAATATCATGAAGGCCTCGACAAGTCGTTTCTTTGCCTTTGTGTTTGGTCCTTTTTGCAAAAGCAGTCAACTGCCATAAAAAAAGAACAATGGTTTCCTGAAATCATGACATCCTGACATGTTTCACGATTAAGAGTGTTCTTTTACAACGCATGCATGACAGTTAGGAATGTTTAATGTTACTTTAATAAGGCTGTCTTTTATGACCCCGGAACAGATATTTTCTCTTTCCATTATTTCCATTCGGAAAAACCATGAGATGAACTTGAACCTGAAAAGGATTGATCTTTTTTTTTAACTACAGTTAACAACAGCAGGGAGATAATTTGTTATTTTCTTCTATTTTATTTTTTTAGAGCAGTTGCCAAATATAAACATCTGCTACGGTCCCTGACAGTGGGACACAGGACGGCCAAAGCGGAAAAACTACGGCTAAGAAGAGCTGAAAGCAGAAGGGGAGGGCATGTTATGAGCAGAGTAAGTTGCACTGCATGGCGAGCTGCCACATTAGCCATTGCAGGACAGAGCAGACTCATTTAGGTGTCTGCAGTCGATGCTGCTGAATGGCAATAGTGCTTCCTCTGCTGCTGCTTTCAGGGACGTGCCCGGAGTGTTGAGTGGCCTTCTTCCTGTGGCCTTAAATCAGTTCTCCACTAGACACACAAAGAGCAGCTGCAAACTCTCTCTCTCTTTCGACCACACTCCCTTCCATGACCGATGAAGAAGTGTCATTTGACCACTGCGTCCCCATGGGAGAAACATAAGAAGACAACATTGATCCCAAACTTGACGACATCCGGAAGGACCTGAACAACCTGACTTTAAAATGAAAAATCAACATGGAGTGGT